AGTAATAACCTGCAGGGTTCATCAGGCTGTTCATCAGAGTTTCCTTACCAAAACCGTGAACAAGATTCAGTGATATTTTCTTAAAGAAAGGATTATATGATTCAAGTATGTTATTTTTTAAGATGATCAACTTCATCTGTGTATAAAAATTTAGAATAAGTAGGACTAGATAAACTGCATAATCTTTCAAAATATCATTTATGAATATCACTGATTTCCAAGACCTAAAAACATGTATTTTTCTTTAATTACAAAAGCAATACATGTTTATAATAGAGAATTAAAATTTAGATGTTAACTACATATAAATACTGTATATAGTATATATTATAAATATATATAAATGCCATATAACACATATATAAAATGCTATATATGTTTCTGCCCCCTAGTGGCAATCTTTGTTAACACTTTGGTATTCTTCCTTCCAGTCTTTTTGTATGCATTTTTAAAAAAATTGGATCATGGGCTGGCCAGTTAGCTCATTTGGTTACAGTGCAGCCTTGTAACACCAAAGTCAAGGGTTTGGCTCCCCATACCAGCCAGCCACCAAAAAAATAAATAGGTAAATAATTGGATCACATGATATATGCCTTTTATAGTCCCTAAATAAAACATTAGCATTTTCCTGTAGTGTTTGATCTTCCTAAATTATTTTAGCATCTGCACTGTGTATGTCTTTAGGAAGCTTACACATTTCTCTCTTGCCTTCCATGAGGCTGGACTCATTTGACTATGCATTTTCAGGTGTGTTTCGTTTGTTTTTGCTGGCTTCTCTTCCACTCACTTATATATGAACAGTCCAACTAAGGTTATCACTTCTCACCACTCTTTTCCTTGATCAGATCACCCAGCTCCCGTAGCTGTCACTTCAAACCACTCTCAGAACCTCATCTCTAACTCAGACTTCATGCTGAGTGGCCCCTTAAATCCAATTGCCTATTAAACATCTCTTGTGGGTGCCCTCAAATAGAACTTGTTCAAAAACAAATCCTCATCTTCTCTAAATAGCAGTTTCTCTTCTAATATCCCCTCTCTTCGTCATTATCTCTGTCTACTTAGTTGCTCACACTGTAATGTCCTTAATATTGTACGGTTAATGTAGTAATAACCTGCAGGGTTCATCAGGCTGTTCATCAGAGTTTCCTTACCAAAACCGTGAACAAGATTCAGTGATATTTTCTTAAAGAAAGGATTATATGATTCAAGTATGTTATTTTTTAAGATGATCAACTTCATCTGTGTATAAAAATTTAGAATAAGTAGGACTAGATAAACTGCATAATCTTTCAAAATATCATTTATGAATATCACTGATTTCCAAGACCTAAAAACATGTATTTTTCTTTAATTACAAAAGCAATACATGTTTATAATAGAGAATTAAAATTTAGATGTTAACTACATATAAATACTGTATATAGTATATATTATAAATATATATAAATGCCATATAACACATATATAAAATGCTATATATGTTTCTGCCCCCTAGTGGCAATCTTTGTTAACACTTTGGTATTCTTCCTTCCAGTCTTTTTGTATGCATTTTTAAAAAAATTGGATCATGGGCTGGCCAGTTAGCTCATTTGGTTACAGTGCAGCCTTGTAACACCAAAGTCAAGGGTTTGGCTCCCCATACCAGCCAGCCACCAAAAAAATAAATAGGTAAATAATTGGATCACATGATATATGCCTTTTATAGTCCCTAAATAAAACATTAGCATTTTCCTGTAGTGTTTGATCTTCCTAAATTATTTTAGCATCTGCACTGTGTATGTCTTTAGGAAGCTTACACATTTCTCTCTTGCCTTCCATGAGGCTGGACTCATTTGACTATGCATTTTCAGGTGTGTTTCGTTTGCACATAGTATAAAGTAGCTCTAATCTTTTTATTTTTTTTATTTTTTTTTTTTTAATTTTTATTTTGTCAATATACAATGTATATGATTATTATGGCCCATCACCGACACCTCCCGCCCTCAGCTCTAATCTTTTTAAATGGTGTTTTTTTCTTTTTTAATTATAAGATAGGTACAGTGTAGAAAAATAAAGAATTTTTAAAAAGGGATTCTATATTTGGAGGAAAAGGTAAGACTTTTAGTAGGGAATTGGGGGATAGGGACCAGAAAAGCACTCTTGTTTTTTTTTTTTTTTTCCTTTTTGTCTTTTTTCGTGACCGGCAACGGATCGCAACCCTCAGTGGCGCGCCCGTACTG